TACACTATCCCTCCTGCCTGGCTACTGGCCAATCAGCATTTTATTTATCAATCAATCATAGCAACATATATTCACAGCATACAGGACATCCCACAGCACTTCACAGACATCAGGCATTCATGAAGTGCACATACATACACACAGGCAAAACACTCATGTGCCTAATATTAAATAATCTAAGAAATGGTTTTAAGGATCACCTTGTCACGGGGAAAAAAGAGTGCATATGTAAAAACAATAACATTAAAATGTTACAATTGGTCACCAGGACAGGATGGAGTCCGTACCAAGAACTGCTGTGAGCTTCTGTGAGCATTCCCAAGACAGTAGCCTTGCCCGTAAGGGCCAGGAAGCCAGTGCTGTTCCAGAGTTGGAGCTGGGTTGAGTTCGGAGAAAGAGTGTGCATGTTTAGTTTGTCCATATGTTCAGCTCCTGTCACTGAGACAGCCACATTTTGCAGCATGTTTAGTTTGTCCAAATGCTCAGCTACTGTTACCGAGACAGCCACGTTTTGTAGAGTCCAGCAGACTATTGAGCTGGAACTGCAGAAGCTGGGGATGTGCATATAAAGAAGGTCCACGTGCCATGCTGTACCCTTCTCTCAGCCAGACAGCTATTACTATATGCTGCATGAATCCGGGGGTGGCATGCAGGAAGCCTGGATTTCGGAGTTACTCTCATGGGTACACTATGAAAGAAACATAGATGGACGCACTAACATTAACTCTCAGGTCACAGTTGCATGTCACACAGTAATCATGTCTACATGTATGTATATGTAGGTTACAGGATGACCACAAAAGAGTTAAGGAGGTTACAACAGAGTTCAGAGAGGCTTTCCTAGAGACAGAGGCAGAAGGCTGTAGAGATGCAAAGAGTCTGTGGGGAGAGGCAGGGTAGATAAAGAACCCTGTTGGAGAAGCTTCCCGAAACTCTTCCTCTGCAGAAACAAAACGCAAGTTTAGGTCAACTGCAAAAGTGGACACGCAGGACCGTGGAGGCCATGGAAGCAAGGTGCAGGACTGACGGGGTGAACAATGGGACAGATGTCAGAGGTTCTCTGCCTGTTGGTCCCATGCACAAGCCAGGTAGTCAGACGACAGGTTGGTGGAGGATCTGGTGTTAGGGGTAAGGTGAGAGTGTTGCATCTATCTTCCGTCCAGAGGTTCTGCCTCTCCAGCCATGGCCACAGAAAGGAAGGGCTGCTTCCTGAACTTATAATTTCCCTCAGAAATACTAGTTACTGGTTTTTGATATAGTGAAATGAGTATATAATTGCAAGTGATTTAATTTTATTATTTGTGTGCATGCATGTATGTACACCTCTGTGTGTACACATATGCAGAGACCAGAGCTCCAGTTTAGGCATTGTCTTCAGAAGCTATCCATCTTGGTTTTTGAGACATGATCTTTCATCGGCCTGGAGTCTGCCAACTAGGCGAGGCTGGCTGCCCTTGAGCCCCAGAGATCCTTCTGCCCCTGCCTCCCCACTGCTGGGATCACAGGCCTGGGCCTACTAACTATTGGCTTTTCTTTTCTTTTCTTTCTTTTTTCTTCATTTTTTTTTTTAATTTTAGAGACAGGGTCTCTCTGTATAGCCCTGGCTGTCCTAGAACTCACTCTGTAGACCAGGCTGGCCTCAAACTCAGAGATCCGCCTGCCTCTGTCTCCCCACTGCTGAGACTAAAGACATGTGAGACCACACCATGGCTTTTTAAATGTGGATTCTAGGGAATGGAGTCAGCACTCATGACTACATGGCAAGCACTTTTGTTGTGTTTTAAAAACGGCAGGAAGGAGTCACACCGTACAACAGGCCCACGTTCGAGGTTTATTGAGGGAGTGGAGAGGAGGGGGCAGAGACCAGTCCCTGGGGATGAGAGTGAAGAGAAGAGAAAGAGACAGAGCCAGGCAGGGTCCGCCTTTTATAAGGGAACAGATGCACACAGGGGCTGCTCTTGGTGGCTGCAGCTGAGGGTGTATCCTGTCAGGACCCTAAGGGCAGGCCAGAACAGATGCCTGAATGCCAACAACTTTACCAACTGAGCCGCCATCTCCTCCGCTTTCATTATTTAAGCACAAAAGCCACCCAGACTTATTCATGCTTAGTAATCTATTTGCACCCCATGGTATTCATAGCATACCCTCTGACTGTAGAATGAGCCAAGCATGGTGATCTGCCCTAGCCCAAGCTACTCAGGAGGCTGAAGCAGGGGGTTAATTTGACCCCACAGAAGTGTGAGACCAGCCGGGCGGTGGTGGCGCACGCCTTTAATCCCAGCACTCAGGAGGCAGAGGCAGGCGGATCTCTGAATTCGAGGCCAGCCTGATCTACAGAGTGAGATCCAGGACAGGCTCCAAAACTACACAGAGAAACCCTGTTTCGAGAAACCAAAAAAAAAAAAAAAGAAGAAGAAGTGTGAGACTACTCCAAGCAATACAGTGAGACTTATGTCATTTTTCCTTTTTGTTATTTATTTATTTATTTGAGACAGTGTCTCACTGTGTAACTCATGGACCTCACGCAGATCAACCTGCCTCTGACTATGGAGTGCTGGCAGTGACGTTTATTTATTTATGTGTTTGTTTGTTTGAGACAGTGTCTCACTGGGTAACTCTGTCTAGCCTGGACCTCACGCAGATCTACCTGCCTTTGCCTGTGGAGTGCTGGCAGTGACGGGGGCACCACCACACCAGCCACATTTTCAAATGGACAAATTAAGTTTATCAAAGGATGTCAAGGGTTTGATTGCTTGGTTAGTAATTTTTTGTTTTTGAGACAAGGTTTCATGTGTCCAAGCTGACCTTGAACTCATTATGTAGCTGAGTATGATCTTCAACTCCTAGCTGGAACTTTAGGCATGTACCACTACACCCAGCTGAGGTTTCATTTCCTTCAAGGTTTCTTTTCTTCACAGGATTTGAATCTTCTATGATTAGGAATTACCTTTGATCCCAATACTCTCTCCCAGAGGCAGGAAGACCTCTGTGAGTTCAAGGACAGCCTTGATGAAAAATGAGTTTAGGCCAGTCAGGGTCATGCTATGAGTCCCTGTCTCAAAACAAAAACAAAACAAAACTGCCTAGAGCAAGGCGAATATGTTGGAGCGCACGCCTTTAATCCCAGCACTCGAGGCAGAGGCAGGCGATCCGAGTTTGAAGCCAGCCTGGTCTATAGAGCATTCCAGGGCTACACAGAGAAATTCTGTCTTGGGGGAAAAGGAAGAAAGAAAGGAAGGAAGGAAGGAAGGAAGGAAGGAAGGAAGGAAGGAAGGAAGGAAGGAAGGAAGGAAGGAAGGAAAAGAAAGGAAGAAAGGAAGAAAGGAAGAAAGAAAGAAAGAAAGAAAGAAAGAAAAAGAAAGAAAGAAAGAAAGAAAGAGAGAGAGAGAGAGAAGAAAGAAAGAAAGAAAGAAAGAAAGAAAGAAAGAAAGAAAGAAAGAAAGAAAGAAAGAAAGAAAGAAAGAAAGAAAGAAAGAAAGAAAGAAAGAAAAGAAAGAAAGAAGAAAGAAAGGAGGGAGGAAGGGAAGGGGGGGTAAAAAGAAAAAAATACAGATATTTCCTCCCACTGTTAGTATTAAGACTCTCGGAAAATCTGCCCACAGCCCGCAGACAGTGTTTCTCTGTGTAGCTCTGTGTATCACTCTATAGACCAGGCCGGCCTCAAATTTAGAGATCTGCCTGTCTCTGCCTCTGGAGTCCTGGGATTAAAGGTATGCACCACCACTGCCTGATGTCTCTGAAAATCTTGACTGACATAGTGTTTTCACCAAATAGGTGCTGTCTTTTGGCAGCCACAATTCTTTATAAGTTTTGCCTGGTGGTGAGCTAAAATCTTTCTCACTACCCAGAGGAAATCACCCCTCTTCAGATGTTTGAAGACTGTGCTTGTATGGCACAGGTCTTCTTGCCCACCCTGGCTTCAGATGGCAGCCTGCAGTAGTTTCCAGATGCTAACAAGCCAGTGTGGTGGCATGCACACACAGTCCCAGCACCTGGGAGGTGAGGACAGGAAGATAAGAAACTGAAGGTAAACCTCTCAGCTACTGAGTGAGTTCAAGGGCAGCCTGAGCCCAGGATACATGAGATCCTGTCTCAGAAACAAAGTGAACAACAGCCTAGTGCTGCCCTTCAAGGCACCTCGCCAGCCTGGAGATGAGGCTGCTTTGCACCGTCTGTTTGTCCTTCCTTCAGATACTTTCTTCCCAGGAGTAATCTTCAGGGCAACCAGTCAGCTTCTTATGGCTTCTCTAAAACTGAAACCTAGGGGCAGCAAGGTGGCGCAGGGAGGGAAAGGGAATGCAATTAAATCACTATCAGTCCACGAATCAGCTTAGTGAGCAAAGGGATTCACTTGGGGGTTAACTCACAAGACAGAAATAAGGGACTGTAGCAGGATCCTGGAAGGGTGAGGCAAGGGCCAAGCTGTTCTCTAGTGAGTTCTGCCCTGGTCCGTCTCAGCATCCAAACTCCATGAGGTGGAGAGAACACCTAAGTGCATCCCAGGTCTTAAGGGTTCCTGGCGGCCACACCCAAGGGGCAGGTACCTAGCAGCTACCTGCTGCTTCACTGGGGCCGGGCCTCAGGGAAGGGTATAAACAACCACCCACTACAGAAAAGCACTTGTCACCAAGCCTGATGACCTGAGTTCAACAATCCCCAAAGTCCAGTAGGAGAGAACCTGCTCCCACAAGTTGTCTTCTGACCTCCACATGTCTGCCTGGCAAGTGCACACAGACACATACACAATAAATACATGTAAAAATAAAACGGAAACCTGTAAGTAAGCACACATTTGCAGGTCGCAGATGCTCAAGTAGTATTTTATGTGTTCGGATTTCCAACAAGAGGTTTCTTTCAAACATGAATTCCATTCCCCAGAAGTCGGCTTCTGATGAAACAGACTACGTATTTCTTGGCAAACACATATGATTTGAGATGTGCAATGTGATGTCATGATTCCTCAGCTTATTAAACAAATGCATTTTTATTTTTGTTTTCAGACAGTGGCCAGAACAATAGTGCCAGTAGTAAAAGTGAACGACTGAGTGCCAAGCTCAGAGCTTTGCCTGGGACAGATGAACCTTATGAAAGTAGCGGTAACAAAGAAATAGGCAAGTGCTGGTCCCCGCCCAGCTCCTCCAGCACAGCTGGGCTACAGAAGAGCCCGAGGTGGCGAGTGTGTCCTGGGGAACTGCTGAGAATTTGGCATGTGCAGACTGGTCACAGACTTGGAAGAGCCTTTCTGTTCACTCAGAGTCATTGGGTTTGGACTGAGTCTAGATTGTTTTCATGTTTCTTATTTTTTCTATTGTTTTAATGGCACAATCTCTTTTGAAACCTAGATGCCTCCTATGTGGATCCACTGGGCCCTCAAATAGAAAGACCAAAAACTGCAGCCAAAAAGAGAATCGACGAGGATGATTTTGCTGATGAAGAGTTAGGAGATGACTTGCTTCCAGAATAATACAAACTTTAATACTGTGTGTGTGTGTGTGTGTGTGTGTGTGTGTGTGTGTGTGTGTGTGTGTGTGTGTACATGTGTGTAAGACAGAAGACAGCCTTGGATGCTGTTCCCCAGGCACCATCCGTCCATCCACCATTTTTGTGACAGGGTCCCTATCTGGCCTGAACATGCCGTGTGGGCAGTGGCCAGCAACCTCCAGGGATCCTGCCTGTCTCCACTCCCTCTTCCCTGGTGCTGCGGTTATAAGCACTTGCCACCACACCCAGCTTTCTGTAAAGGGGCTCTGGGGTCTGAACTCAGGTCCTCGGGCTTGTGTGGCAAGCACTTTCCCACTGTGCTCTCCCTGTCCCCGTAAGTCATTGACTGAAGGGAAGAAATTGCCTTATAAGATAATACTCTTGTTAACCCTGAGATCAGACATCCAAACTTTAACTTTGTACACTGTTGAAACTTTAAAGAGTGTATTCTGGCCGGGCGGTGGTGGCGCACGCCTTTAATCCCAGCACTCGGGAGGCAGAGCCAGGCGGATCTCTGTGAGTTCGAGGCCAGCCTGGTCTCCAAAGCGAGTTCCAGGAAAGGCGCAAAGCTACACAGAGAAACCCTGTCTCGAAAAAACCAAAAAAAAAAAAAAAAAAGAGTGTATTCTGTTCTCTGAAGATGGATCTGTGCTGTCATTTTTATGGAATAAAACCCATGAAGCTACTCTACTACCTTAGGCCAATGACTTCCTTGCCTTTCTAGTAACACCAACCCACAGTGAGAAGTCGGTGTTTTAGAACAACACAGTATCTGCCCACTCACAAGAAAGCTTGTGTATATAGTGACAAAATTTACCTTTATTACTATATATAAAGTTCCAGTAGAGAGCTTTAAAATTACTAAGATACATGTGTGATCTTTATTCAAGCTGCTTGACTGGAGTCTTTGGAAAGCTTGTCTCGCTATTAGGACAGTTCTCTTTTGAAGGCAGCATAACAACAGAAATAGAGAAAACAACAAACTGTAACCTTGCTCTTTTTAATGGTTCCCACTGCCGTGTGCACAGTGAAGCAATGTCTCAAGACTGGTTGGCCCACTCCTTGCTTAGAGCACGCGTCTGGGGCAGGATGGCTTGTGTGTTCCTTTAGACATGTCTATGAGGGGCTAGACTGTCTGAAGAACTGGCTGCTCCACCTTACTTGTCCAGAGTGGTTGGTACTGAACTTGTGGGCTCAAATGATCCTGCCTCAGGCTCTTGAGTAGCTAAGACTGTAAGCAAATGTCACCCAGAAACATTTTAAAATATGAAGATATTGTGGGGTGCCCAACACTGACTAATATATTCCCAATGCAATCCCTGCACCCAAGGTTCAGGGAAAATCATGGAGGGGGGGATGAGTGTAAGAGCCAGAAGACTAGAACATCTGCTGTGAGGGAGGATCTCCTATACAAGATGGAGAAAGATCACATGTGAGTTCTCAACAATCTCAAAAACATAGCCACCTGAACAAGAGTAGCACAAGGACATCACTGGCTGACATGCCATTGTGAACAGGGTCGATTCCACAGGGTCCCACCTCTAGATGAGAAGCTACAATGGCCTCTGAGAGGGAGAATCAGTCTCCTCCAGGGATAAACTCTTCCTGCATAGGTTATCCAGTCCCACAAGTGAGCCCTGGCTGGACATGTACATATAAACAAAATTAAATGGACTCAGTAGGTTATGTATACATGTGTGTATTTACATGCTTAATATATTAAGTATATACATACAGCAATAATAAAGAGATCATGAATTTGAGAGGGGGACATGGGATGAGGGAGGGGAAGAAGGAAGGTGATATAGATGTATGAAGTTCTCAAAAAATTAAAAAAAAAATATATATATATATATGAGTGTATAGATATGTTGAAACAGAAAGGTAGGAAAAGCTCAATCCAACCAAAGGAATAAAGGAGAAGTCAACCTTTTACACAGAAAACCTCATAACAATATTTGACTTTGGCAATAATTATATATTATGCATTATTATTATATCATCTTCTGACCTTGTCAAAGTCATTGCAATGAACTAGTGGGAAGAGTTCTCAGCTGGAGTACATTGAGCAAACAGGAAGTGAGACTTTTAGAACCAGAGAACAAAGACAAGCCCGAGCACTTTGCTGCTGTCAAAGCAGAGAAGAGATGGTGGCTAGTTAATGTCTGGGGTCAAGAAGGCTCATAGCATGCATCACGGAAGATCCAGCGTGTATAAGCTTGAATGCAAGCGAGTCAGTGTTGGTCTGGCGGTGGCAGCTGCTCTCATACGTGTCTATGGAAGAAAATGAGAGATCTGGTGAGAACAGATCTACATCAGTGACCTTGGAAAAGGGAATGGAGGCAGAAAACTTAATAGGATATTTGTATTGACTGCTGTGTTAGTCAGTGTTATTGTCAATGTGTTTGGCACTGGCTCATGTGTCTGAACATCCGGTCCCCAGCTGGTGATGTTTAGGGAGGTGTCACCTTGTGGGAGGAAGTGAGTCACTGATGATTACGCTGCTTTATCTCCTGGTCCACTGAGCTCTGAGCAAGCAGCTGCCTGCCACACGCCTGCCATCACAGAACCTCCCGCCACCATGCCTTTCCTGTCATGGATTGTACTCTCTCAAACTGAGCCAAAACTCCCCTAAAGTTGCTTTGGCTATCCTGGAACTCGCTCTGTAGACCAGGCTGACCTCAAACACATAGAGATTTGCCTGCCTCTGCCTTCCCAGTGCTAGGATTAAAGGCATGTGCCACCACCCGGCAATTTTAAGAGTTGGATTAGTGCAGACAAGTACTGCAGAAGAAAAGCACACCAAGGGATTGTAAGAATGTGATGATAAAGATGAGCTAGGAAGCTGGGCTAGACAAGAGAAATAGGGATTAAAGAGTGAACTGTCATTGAATACCATGATCTGAAGACAGATAAGTCTGAGAAGTGCAGAACAGAACATACATGGGTGCTGGAATCAGACATTGGGATGTGGTCAGCCATTCCTGAGGAGGAGACCTTGGATACGGCCACACAATTTGATAGCCTGAGATCAGACAAAGCCGGGGTGGGGGTGGAGGGTGAAGGAGACAAAAATTGAAATGGGCACTCAGGACCAGGTCTTATTGTGCAGGCTGATGGTGCAGGATTGAGCAGCAAAAACAATGCAAGATCCAGGTGCTTGATTCACCCGTGAATAAAAGGAGGAGCTCCCTGAGGCAGCATCTGAGAAGAGAATACTTTTGTATATGCACCTTACTCAGAATCCAAGGTCAGCATGGAAGTAGCCAATCACACATTGACTTTGGAAGTTACAGTGCCAAATAATAACTCTCTCCCAGCACTTAACAGTGTCCACCATTCTTGCTGAGGATCAAGGTTCAGTTCCCAGCACCCATATTAGGCCACTACAACCCACCTGTGACACCAGTTCCAGGAGACATGATGCTCTCTCTTCTAGCCTCTGTGGGTACCTCAAGGTTGGTCCTTGCTGTCTTGGTGCTTTGCTGGACTTGGGACAGCTGAGTGAAGCAAGGGATGAAAGGGAAAATATCAGACTAAGTCCACACAACTACACTAGTAGAGACATAGTCAGTACAGCATGCCAAACATGCAACATTACCTGAGGGTAAAGTGAGATTAACTATAGTTTGCACCCCGGCCGGGCGGTGGTGACGCACGCCTTTAATCCCAGCACTCGGGAGGCAGAGGTGTTGCTAGAGTTTTTCTGCCTGGCCCACAGTCAGGGCAAATCTCTCTCACCCGCCAGTCCCAAGCCGCTCAAACCCGATCAAGTAAACACAGAGACTTATATTGGTTACAAACTGTATGGCCGTGGCAGGCTTCTTGCTAACTGTTCTTACAGCTTAAATTAATCCATTTCTATTAATCTATACCTTGCCACGTGGCTTGTGGCTTACCGGTACTTTACATCTTCCTTGTCCTGATGGCGGCTGGCAGTGTCTCCCTCACCCAGCTTCCTGTTCTCTCAATTTTCCTCTCTGTTAGTCCCGCCTATACTTCCTGCCTGGCCACTGCCAATCAATGATTTATTCATTGACCAATCAGCAACACATTTGACATACAGACCATCCCACAGCACCTCCCCTTTTCTTTTCTTAAAAAGGAAGGTTTTAACCTTTACACATCTCCAAAGTCAGCTTGGTATATTTGGGAATTTGGGCGTAGCTTCTCTTACTACTTCCTGCTGGAGGGGGGCGCTGTATCTTCTGGGGAAACAAAGAAAATTTTAGGATCATGGAGTAGTCCGTGAGGCTGTATCATCTGAGCCAGTTGCCTTGAAACGGTTCTGGATGTTGGATCATCTGGGCCATGGTGTCATCGGAGACCTTTCAGGTGGTCTTGGCTGGTCAAACCTGATGTATCTTAATCTGGAACAAATCCATAGCCTCTGGCTTTCTGTGGAAACAAAAGCAGAGTCTCCTTTCCAAAGTAACATATCCTTATATCTAAATTTTGAAGTCAAGGTACCTTTAAAATATACATTTTGGCATAACTCAACAGCTTTTGTAATCAAAAGTTTTTCTTCAGTTACGAATATCAAAGAGAACATAATCCAGATTCTCTGTGTGGTAGCCATCTTTACGTGGCTTATTTTTTTATATTAGCTTGAGCCTATTGCTTTGAACTGCAGCCTTGAATGCATGGGACAGAGTTGAGGAACCAGGAAAAAAAACTGAGTCATTTACAAAGGTTGTACTAGGCCCAAAAGAATCTTTCACAGATTTTTTACAAAGACTGGCTTCAGCAGTAAAGAGAATGGTCCCGGATTCAGAAGCTAGTAAGATAATAATTGAGTCTTTGGCCTTTGAGAATGCGAATGCAGCATGCAAAACAATAATCAGGCCGTTAAAGGCAAGATCTGCACCTTTGGAAGATTGGATTAGAGACACGGTTAGTGTTGAAGCTCATGAGCATGATGATACGTGGGTAGGAGAAGCAATTTCAAGAGGTTTGAGCGGCTTGGGACTGGCGGGTGAGAGAGATTTGCCCTGACTGTGGGCCAGGCAGAAAAACTCTAGCAACAAATGGCGTCCAACGTGGGGCAAGAGTTTCCACCTAAAACCTAAAAAAAAAAAAAAAGATTCTAAAACGGAGCTAAAAACAGCTTCCTAATTGTCTCTCTCACAGAGGCAGGTGGATCTCTGTGAGTTCGAGGCCAGCCTGGTCTACAGAGCGAGATCCAGGAAAGGTGCAAAAGTACACAGAGAAACCCTGTCTCGGAAAACCAAAAAACAAAACTATAGTTTGCACCTCTAACCCCATCACAGCATATATTAAATCTAGACTTAAATTTTTTAATTTTTATTTATTTTCATGTTTATTTTTAAGATTTATTTTTATTTTATGGGCATTGGTGTCTTGTCTGCATGTGTGTCTGTGTATGGGTGTTGGATCCCCTGTAGCTGGAGTTACAGACAGTTGTGAGCTGCCATGTGGGTGCTGGGAATTGAACCCAGGTCCTCTAGAAGAACAGCCAGTGCTCTTAACTGCTGAGCCATCTCTCCAGCCCTATTTTCATGTTTATGTATATTTTGTCTGCCTGTGTGTCTGTGCATCATCGTGTGTACACCAGGTGTCCTCAGAGGTCAGGAGAGGGTGTCAATCCCATGGAATTGGAGTTGCAGATGGCTGTGAGCCACATTTGGGTAGGAACCAAACACAAGTCCTCTGCAAAAGCAGACAGTGCTCTTAACTGGATTAGTCTTTAAAATATTTTTGAAATTACTGTGCGTGTGAAATGATGTGTATGAGGTGGCAGAGGACAGCTTTGTGGAGTTTGAGTTCCAGGGATAGACCTTGGCACACCAGTGTTGCACGGTAAGCCCATTTACCCACTGAGCCATCTCCTCAGCCCAAGTCTGGACTAATTATTAACATGTCTCCTCACAAAACGCTGAGATCTGGGAAGAACTCTTCTTGTTTTCATCTGCACCTGTTGGTAAGCTTTGCTCCACTATTTAATGTTTTCGGCATCTGGGACCTTCCACAAACTGAAAACTGTTAAAGTTGATCTGGAAGAGATGAGAAGTTGTCCAGTGGCGAGACACTGGCCCTGTGCCACTATGGGCATGAAAGGATGCTGCACAGAACGTGGTGAGTAGTTCCATGGAACGCTGGTAATGGCAAGCTCACCCAGGAAATACTCCTACACTGTTTTTCAAACAGAAAATAAGCAGTATTGAGCGCTGCCTTTATTCCCATTTTACTAGAAAGGAGACAATGTTAACAATTTATGTGCTGTCGGAAAGTGTTTCATAAACCCAGATGTGTTTACTAAGAACTGGAAGTTGTTTAAGCTGTAAGGTTTGGAGGAACTTTCAGCAGTAAAGCAGTTACAAAGCATTTTGGTTTTAAAACATCGAAGGCAAGTGTTTTATTGCACAGCAAAACTGAAATGCAGTTTAACCACTGGTTTACAATTTGGTTAAAACCCAAAGCTGCAAGCCATTTTAAGGAATCAAAAATTATTTTGCACACTTTCAAAAAGCTTTCAGCTTGTCTCAACCATTTGTTTTTATTTTCAAAGCGTAAGTGCTCAAAAGGAATCGTATTCATTAGCTGGATGCCTGGCAAGCAAGACATATTTGTAGAATGAACAAGTAAGTGAGCAAGCTCTCTTGAGATCTTGAGATACAATATAGTCCTTCATTTGAGCTGATTTCCCTTAATTAATTCACAGAACTTTAGGCTCATTTTACATGTCTGCTCACACAATTAATATCATGGTTGAGTTCTCCAACACTGTAAAACTAGAGAGATGCCCACTTACAGCCATGTGTCAGGTGGGGGAGGGTATTTATTACTCTGCCTTTAGCTGAATAAGAGGCACGGAGTCATTTTATGAGTATTTAGGGGAAAACAGTTTCCTCTCGCCTCACAGAACATAACTTTGGTTTTTTTTAATCTCTAATATAATTCTTCGAACTATGAAATCCCAGAAGACGTGGTCCCAAGGAGGAGAGAGTCCTTCTAGGTTTGAGTTCATTCATTTCCAAGTGGCCCGTCCAGCTCCTGGACCGCTTTAAGACCTAGAGAAATCCGCTTCCTCTGAGCCAAAGTCGGCCTCCCGACTGCATCCCCGCCGCCCCACTGGTCGGTGCCGAGACGTCGAGGCCAGTCACCACCTCCTCCTCCTCCTCCTCCAGCCAGGCGGACCGCGCCAGTCCACTTCTGTGGGGGCGACACCCAGCCCGCAGGCCACACGCCCCGCGCGTGCGGCGCCTTTATTTACTTCGCTCAAGAGCCATCAGCCCCCCTCCTAACAAGTCTGGAAAGCATTTCGGTGACGCGATGTTGGGGACACTGGTGAGCGCCCTCGGGGGTACCGGCGAGGGCATGGCAGAGGCCGGGCTGGGGCTGAGGGACAGGGGAGGGGACCGGCCGGGAGAGGCCGTCTCACGGGCACTCGCAGCCCGCCGCGCAGCAGCCCGGCAGGCACACGCACACGTGCACGCGCGCCCCGCACCCGCCCCCCGCGCAGGCTCCGGCTCTGGGCGGCGGCGGCGGCGGGGGCCGGGGGCGTGCGGGCCGGCGGCGGGCCGGGCCCCGGGGGCCGCGAGGGCGGCGGGCGGGCGGGGACGGCGCTCGGGGGCCGGCCCGCGCGGCGCCCATGCTCGGGTAGGGCCTCACGGTGTGCGGAGCGGCGGGCGGGTCCCGCGACGCTGAGCGCGGCCTGTCCCGCAGGTCTGGATGCTCGCGGTCGGCTTCCTGCTGGCCCTGGCGCCGGGCCGCGCGGCGGGCGCGCTGAGGACCGGGAGGCGTCCGGCGCGGCCGCGGGACTGCGCCGACCGACCCGAGGAGCTCCTGGAGCAGCTGTACGGGCGGCTGGCGGCCGGGGTGCTCAGCGCCTTCCACCACACGCTGCAGCTCGGGCCGCGCGAGCAGGCGCGCAACGCCAGCTGCCCGGCCGGGGGCAGGCCCGCCGACCGCCGCTTCCGGCCGCCCACCAACCTGCGCAGCGTCTCGCCCTGGGCGTACAGGTGAGCGGGCCGGAGGGGCGGGGCGGGGCCTGCAGGACAGGTGGGTGGGGCAGGGTGGAGTCGCTGGGGGCGGGGCCTGGCGGGGGCCGGGTGGGACTAGCGGGATGGGGCGGGGCCGTCTGGAGCCTGAGGGGCGGGGTCTGAGGGACAGGTGGGCGGGGCGGACCTGATGGGTGGGGCAGGGTGGGACTACTGGGATGAGCCGCGGAAGCAGGCCAGGTAGGGCGGGTGTCCGCTGGTCGGTGGGCTCCGGGAGGAGCCCGGAGAGGCAGATGAGAAAACTAAATTGGGAGCGATTGGTTTCTACAGAGGTCTGTCACGTTCTTTGAAGAAATGCTGTTCCCTCTTGCCCGATCTTCCTGCATTTGTTAGGCAATAAATACCAATTGAGCACCTCTTCTTCACCAGATAACATCACGAGGGACCAAGCCAAATGACCCTTTATTAATTCTTAAGGGATTTTGCACAGAAGGCCTGTGAGAGTGTGAGCTGGAGGTGCTGGGCACTGAGAGCTAGGAGACACACCCTCTGAGAGGATGTCTGGGGAAAAACTGTGATGTGGGGACAGAACATGAGGTGACAAGCAAAGCTTCCAGTGTGTGGTAGCTTGAAGTTGAGGGAGGGAGAGAACATCTTTTTGAGAGTGAAAGCGATTCAAGACGCATGGAGGATAGACAAGATTCTGAGGATGGCCTAATCCAGGGACTGTGTCAAAAGAAGAGCAGGTCAAAGGGAAGTGTGGCTGTACAGCGAGAAGCGTGGCCACAGTGACCTGGGCAGACAGTGGTAACTGTTCCTTGAGCTCGTGTCAGAAAGCAGAGGAGGGAGCCCTCACACTACCCTGAAGATGAGAAAGGTTTTATAATAGACGAGAGCCTGTTGAGGGTGGGCTGGACTCTAGGGAAGGACAGTTGTGGCCAGGAGAGAGAAAGAATGTGGCACCTACAGAAAACTACCAGCAAGGCTTTTATATGTGTTTGCCTTGTCATGCTGGAGGTGGGAAAGCGTCCCGCCACTGGGCTGCACCCCATCCCAGTCTCATGGTTTTGTTCTGTTCTCTATGTAGCCCTGGCTGTCCCGGAGCTCTCTTCATAGACCAGGCTGGTCTCAAACTCACGAAGATCCTCCTGAATGCTGGAATTACATGTTTCTTGATTACGAAGACTATATGGCCACCCACTCTTGTATTCCAGCGAGGATATTATTAGTCAGTTTGCCCTTCCTGTAACAAATCCCTGGGCCGACAAGTTGGCTCAGCAGATTAAGGTGCTTTCGGACAAGCCTAAGGACCCCAGTTTGATCCCCAGAACCCACACAGCAGAAAGAGAGACTAGACCCCAGCAAACGTCCCCTGGCCTCCATATACAAGATTACCACATCATACACAAAATAAGTAAATAAAAACAAACAAATACCTGAGATAATGAACTTAAAAGAAAAAAGAGTTGGCTCAGTTTTAGAGGTTTCAGTCTGTGATCAGGCAGACCTATTGCTTTTAGGCTCTAGTCGGGTTCCAGATGGCAGTGGTTCAGGGGCACGTGGCAGAGGAAAACCCCATTACTAGGCAGCAAAAGAGTTTAGAAAAGGGAAGGGATCAGAGCCCCACAGTCCTTCAGGAGCACACTTGAGTGACCTCAAGGCCTCCGGCAGGGCCCCACCATGGCGGCACCCTGAGGAGCTAGCCTCTGCCAGGGGGAGGACACTTAAGGTGCACACTGTAGCGGGTTCCAGTGAGCGGTGTGGTGCCCGGCAGGCGCGCTGCAGTGGCTGACAGGGAAGGCCTCAGCTGAGGCAGCGCAGTGGAAGAGAGGGATCAGGAAAGATGCTAATGAAAAGAAAGAGCTGGGTGGGCATGTGCTTGAGGAGTAGTAGAGAAGGAGGAGGACTGTGTCCTGGGTCACCTGGGGCTGATTTGTCCGTTCTCTTGAACTGCACCCGCCTCCCAGTTACCCCGCCCCTCAGGTGCCCTAGTGTGAAGTTTAGACCCTCCCTTGACTTGGCTGCTCTTCAGGCTATGTTCACTCGTGGTCCATCCCTTTTCACAGCTCCACCCATGTGGAAGTGGGCCCACACGGGGGCATCCTCTGTGACACATCCTAGCTCTTCGGGGAAACCATGCTGGAGTCGAGGCAGGCCTAGAGGCCACTCCAAGCTCAAACACACACGGGTAACACACAGCAAGTCTCAAGTCCTCTGTAGTCACGTCTCCTGTGGCTCTGGCCAAGGCTGCAGGGCATAGTCTTAATAAGTGCTTGAAGAGGAAGCGTGGAGTCAGATCTTGTGCCTGTTGAGTGTTACTGCCTTGAGATGACAGGGACAGGAAAGAGCAAAGCTGGAGGGCCAGTTGGGAGTTCTCCACTCTGGCATTCTCCATGGAAAGTCAGGCTATGCTGTTCCTGCTGCGGGCCTACACTTGTGTCTTCTGTGACCACATCGGAAAGCAGGAAAGGGCAGGGAGGGAACTGGTTGGTGAGCCCCCATACTTGGAGTGACTGGGTCTGGTGGGGCTCTCCCCTCTGCCACTGGCCAGGTCAGATAGCTTCAGGCTCCTGGTTCCCCTCTTCCACAGTATCTAGCACACCGATGAACTGTCCTTGTAGTCATCCCATCCACCCTTTGGGCAGCTTACCCTGAAGGAAGCTAGGCTTTAGGGGACCATGTGGAGCCATTGTCTCAGGTGCGGACAGTTGACGCTGGCCCTCTTCCCTTGCCTCTCTGGGTACTCCTCCATTGTCACCACCCCCTGAGCTAAGGAGGAGGACAGAAAAAGTGCAATCCAGGAAGTACAGAACCTCACCTGTGAGAGGACTGGGAAGGGACTTCTGAGAGCTCTGGTGGCCTGAATGGAAATACCCCCTAAATCCCACCAGCTCAGGTGCAGGAGTGGCGCACTCAACCTTCCTCAGATCTGCAGATGCCACATCCACAGAGCCAGCCAGTTGCAGATCAAGAGGATGCGAGAGAGCTTGCGTCTGTGCCGAATATGCATGCAGTCTTCCTCAGTGTTACTCCCTAAGCCGCAGTGTACAGAGCATCACTGTGTTAGGCACGTAGAGATGGCTGAAGTCTACAGGAGAGGATGCGTAGGTTCTATGCAAATTCGACATCATTGTATCTATGGGATCTGAGTGTCTGGGGAGCGTGCTTTTCTCCTCCATTCCCAGAGCTCTTCTCTAGGGGATCAGGACTGAAATGACCATGCTGCTATAGGCAAAGCAGAATGCTAAGGAAGATGGGTAGGAAAACAGAGTTAGAAATACCACAGCCCAGGGAGGATCACTGTAGGTGGCATGCAGGTTTCCAAGCAGGCACTGAACTCTCAGCAGGCTCCTGTGTCTGGGGAATGACGATCATGGTTTCAGGACAGCTGGGTCTCCAGCTGGAAGAAAATATGGTTGGATCTCACTCCTGTGTGACAACAAATTCCAGATGATCCGAAGATTTAAGTGTAAAAAAATAAGGCCACAAAGAGGAAGAAAAACACGAGCAATTTTATTTATAATCTTGGTGTGGAGGAGGCTTGTTTAGCAGCTCACAGCCCCAGACATCATAAAAGATGAGATTAAGAAATTCAGTTATATAATTACATGCTGTGTCGTCTTGGCAAATAGGCTGGAGTACAGGGCAAGCCAGGGGGAGAAATATTGGCAACCCATGTCACAAAGGGCTCCTTTCCCAAAGAGCTGCCACACACCATCAAGAGAAGATGGGCCAAGGTCAGAGCATGTGCAGGGAAGGGAAACCACATGATCCAGCTCTCCCTACGTGAAGAGCTGAATACTGCAATCAAGGGAGCAAAACACATGTAGAAACCATAGTGAGAAACTTGGTTTTTGCAACCGTCCTCAGGCCGCCTTGATAAAGGCGGGGGAAGGCGGAAGCCGATCTGGTACAGTGGAGGCATTCGGATCCTGGGAAAGGAGGAAATGGTGATTGTGATTATCAAAAAGATGTCATCAGAGGGAGTCTTGCTGCTGCTACCCATGCTGACTTCAAGCTCTAGGCTCAAGTGACCTCCTGCCTCTACCTCATCAGTGGTTGCAGGTGCACACCTGTGCCTGTCTCAGTATCAAACTTTATATACACTTGACCCAATGATTCGACTTATCAGTATTTCTCCTGCAGACCCATGTATCCACATACCAAATGACTGTTGAGTAAGGATATTAGTCGTTGCTGTAGCAACAAGGGTTGGAAGGCCTCACAGTGTCCACCAATAGACAGGGAGTTGCATAGAGCAGAGCTATGAAGAGGGTTAGATCACATAAGTAGATCCATGGGCGTTCCTTAAGGGAAAAGGTACAAGTAGCATGCAGTCACCTTTGTGTGGAAAGAGAAATTGACATAATCCATACATAATGAGACTTTGTCCTTCTTTCTTTGAGTCAGGGTCTCAGTATGCAGCCCCAGCTGGCCTGGAACTCATAAAATGCTGGAACTAAAGGTTCATATGACCACACCTAGCTACATTTTTTTTTAAGAGATGGGTCTCACTATATTGTTCAGACTGGTCTCAAACTTTTGAGCTCAAGTGATCCTCCTGCCTCAGCTTCTCAGCTTTCTGGGACAACAGACCTGTGCTACTGTGCCTGCTGAAGATGTTTTCTTTGTTAAATGGAGAGAAAGGAAGTCTCCCAACCATGAGGAAAAGGCAGAAGCTGCAGATGGCTTCTGAGACACACACAGAGCCTTGGCGGGGGGGGGGGGGGGGGGGGGGGGGGGGGGGGGGCTTATTTGCTCGTAAAGTCTGGGGGCTCACGGAAGGAGTGCTGTGGACATTGAGGTAGGGTTTTCAGAGCCCGTGACTCCATGGCCAGGCTGAGCTCTGAAGACGTCACAGCTTGGACATTAAGAGATTGTTGCTAGGTGACAAACCCAAAACATTAGACCCAGGATACTGGACACCACTGACTTCATCGTCAGGATCCAGTGTGTCCTTAGGAAAGCAGCATTCGTCTCGCAGAGCATAAAAATATTTTCTCACTTACCTTGTGACGTTA